TCTGCATGATAAGCAAGTCATGTGTATATTATGATCAGTGTTGTTTAAGATCTTTGCACGCTATGGACATATGGTCAGCTCCATAATTATTAATTATTATAAAATTATAAAATTAAAATGAAATTATGAAATAAAGTGAATCCAGAAACACTGCCACCTTCTCTGGGCCTGAGCTCATTGAAAATGAATAAAGTGGAGAAGTGACCTGTGGTCTGACAAATCAAAATTTGAAATTCTTTTTGGAAATCTGAAACTGGGCTGTATTTAGATCTTCCAGGTGGAAAGTGATCCAAGCGCACACAAAAAATGATTCAATGATCACAGAATAAAGCTTTTTACATGGCTATTGCAATTATTTGACCTAAAGCCCATTGAGATCCTCTAGGGTGAGCTAAAGAGCAAAAGGCCTTGGACCTGGGGGGGTTTCTCCAATTTTTCTTCGCCATTTTAGTAATTGCCAAATGTACCTGTTAGCTAGACCAAACTCCATCTCAGAGCACCTAAATTGGGAGGGTGGAGGCTGGCATTTGCTTCCTCTGAGACATGTGAAGCTAAACCACATCTTTCAAACTGCCAGCAACACAACCAGCTGAACAGGTTTGAAGAAGAATGCCAACTGCCAGTTCTGTCATGCTAGCTAATAGATGCCCATGTTGGCTAGCATTGCACTGAGTGATAAGAGGCAGATAGAGAGAGAGAATAATTGTGCTTCTCTGGACTCCCCCACCATGGATGGCTGTGGCATCACCAGGGTTCAAATAGCAATCTACAGATGATAGGGCTCACTGCTGTTATGTTAGTGGAGGCACAAAGTAGTACATGTAGGGGTGCTAATTATTGTGACAGTTTTGTGAACAATTTAACTAATTTTCTTACATTCAATTTAAACTAAAACATGCTTAAAGGTTTGATTTCTCCTATTTTGTCACAGTGAGATTGAGCTAATTATCCACAAAGACATTTTTGTGACCTTTCTTACACATTTTCATCAAAGGTGCCAATAATTATGCACTGAATGCATTAAATGTAGTCTCTTTATAGTCATATTTGCTTTTGTAGTCTGTTTGTAGTCATATTTGCTTTTAGAGTTTAGTGTACTAACAATATCTTTATTTATAGAGCATGTTTCATACCAGTGGCAGCTTAGAATGGCAGGGGATGAAGCTTAACAGTAATAGACAAAACTATGAATATTAATTTAAATCATATAAGACTATAACACAGATTAAAAAGATAAATACCAAAGATCAGTTTCATTTAAATAGATACTAAGGTAAAGAGATGTTTTTAAATGTTGTGAACTGAGCTCCACAGTTTAGAAGCAGAATAACAGAAAGAGTTTCTCCATGTTTTCTGTATTTTACAGAAGGTATTTGTAGAAGGTCAGTATCTGCAGATCTAAGATCATAAGCAGACAGACACTCTGTGATGTTTGCAGTGCTTTAAGGTCATTTAGAGCCTTAAAACTAGTAGCAGAACTTCCATCTCGAAAGATACAAGCAGCCAGTGCAGTTCTTTCAAAACAGAAGTGATACGAGCTCTCTGATTTGTCATTGTTAGGATCTGTGACCTAACAACATGAAAAATGTATGAATAAGTTTGAGATAGAAACGGCTGAACTACTTTACTGACTGTGTTTACATGTAGGGTAAAACAGCTCAGAGTCTAAAGTTACATGTAAGATTTATATTCATTTCTTTCCACAATTTTGTCACTACATTATATTTCAAGTATGTTAGCAATGTTAACCAGAAAGCACTTGTTTTTGAGTGAAGTGAAACTGAAAGTTGCTTTTAGATTCCTATCACAAATAACCAGCTATGAATGCATTTCCTAGTACTGATGGCTTAATTACTTAGCTTAGTTTGTTGTTTGTTTTTGTTTGTCAGGACTTGTTTGCTCAGTTAATATGATGGCAAAACATTAATATGAATTCTTCACTTTAATGTTGGAATGATCAAAAATGGACTGTAAATATAAAAATGAACTCGTGGAAATAAGCAGATACATTTGTTCAAGTTGAATAAACATTTTTTTTGGGACAAAAAGTCAAATACGGTGAATAAAACTCTTCATCAGTACCAACTTCACAAACACTTTTAAGCAACTTTTTACACTGTAGAAGATGTAAAATCTTTGAGGACTGAAAGTTGCATTGCGTTCTGGTCAGAAGTTTATCTGAAAATCAAATGATGACAGATTATCACTACAAACATCTGACAAAAACAGGTTTTGTATTCACAGGAAAGGTCTGTACATGTAAGTTAAGAAAAGCCTGTCACCATGCCAAACTTTGTCACATACTCACACTGCTGCCTGTATAATGTAAGGTCTTCTTAAGTATCGGTTTGTTTTTAGTTTATTAAGTGTATTCTTAGCACTATTAACTCAGACTACCTTCATTCTAAGACTTTGTACTTTATGTGTGATCAGAGTAAAATTCAGTGACATTCCTGAGAATTCGGAAATTCAGTGTCCTGTTTTACAGTAAATGTCTCCATCTGCTGACTGAAGGTGAAACAGCCTGCACAGCTTACTGGAGAATGGAACAGAATGTGGGTTTGCTCAAAAATGACTTTAAGCTATCTAGACTGAATAAAGATCTGCCACTATCCAGTTCAGTTACAGCTAAATATCAGCATTGACCTACCATATTGTCAGACTGTAAGACAATGCCTTAAACAGTACTGTACACTAATGCTGGCCAAATGATAAAGTATAACAATGTATAATGGCAAGATAAGTCTTATCCTGACAGTATGGCAGTTAATTCTGTAGGAAGTGGGGGTTGTTTAGACAGAGTGCCTTAGTGGCTTAGTGTTCAAATACTGGTCAAAATGGATTAACAAATCACTGCTCCGTGTTTTTATTAGCATTTCACATACTGTTCCAAGTTTTTTGGAATTGTATTTGTGTGTGAGTAACATATTTTCATGAATGTAAATGTCTTTCATACCTGAGCTTAAATGCAATAAATATAATGATTTGTTTTGAGTAATGAAAAATCCTTAGTTATCTTAAAATTGATGGTGTTTTGGAAATGGCATTTAGAAATTAACCCTTTAAAAGGCCAGAGTCCACTGCCGGCCCAAAACAGCTCAGCCAGTTTGCTTTAAATACCTGTAATTACTGAATAATAAGCCTGTGATTTTAAGGGGTCAAACTCCTTTATGAGATCTTTATTTGAAAGTATTGGTAGTGATTGGCTTATAGGCACTAGTCGCACAGCATATTTCACCCAGAAAGTGTGACCTGCTTTATCACTTTACATTATCTACCGCTCAATTTATTTTGGTTTAAAGGCAAGTGCTGGTTTTAAAGGGAGGTGCTTATATACTGGTAACAAACTCTACATGCGCAATATCTGGTAACCTCAGCTGTGTGAACTGTAAATGGACAATTTATAATAATGTGAATGTACCACACACATAATCCGATTAAAACCAGCATTAAAGGGGGTCCATCTCTGTAAATACTTATGTTTGTAACATATTGCAAGAAAAGTTAACCATAATGCCCCCCTCCACACATACACCACTAAACACACTTTCAACTTGTGTGCTGATACTACAGCTCAAACCTTGTGTTTCTATGAAAACTTTGTGTATCTAGGTAACTTTGACTAAAAATATTGGCAACTTTTTTGTAATTCAGAGTTTTATTTTTATATAAAAAGTATAACAATTAAACAATAACAATTCATATAACAATAAAAAATAGACAGCCATGTACACACATGGGAACAGATTACAAACAGCTTTTTATACATAAGAATATAAACAAAATAATAAATAACAACGTCAAAAAAAGGAAAAATTGCTTAGTCTTGGAGTCTGTTAAGTGCAGTTAAAGAGTCTCTACAGAGTAGTCGGTTTTGTCTTATTAATGCTCGATCAATAACAGAATGTAGCCCTTGAGATTGAGAAACTGTCCATGCTGAACCAATAAAACATATTTTGATAATAGATTTTTAAAAACATTAAATGTGCTGTTCCACATTCTGTCACTGTAGTCTAGTTCACTACAGCACAGCATTTCCCAACTCCAGTCCAGGTCAGTAGCACTAAGAGGGCTATGGCACTCGTGCCTGCTGTAATTCACTAGAATAATAATGAACATCATTTTGCGATCATTGTGATCATTTTAGGGAAAAGTAATTTCAATATTTTGAAAAGATAAAAAAAGTAGAACCATGTCACAGAACATACAGTATGTTGACACAAATAATGTACAAATTTGTTTCTCAGACCATAAAATCCAAGTGACAAATACTATTTTGGATTCCATACACATGTTTAAGAAATACTGTCTTGGTTTATCAAACTGTATAGAGTTTACATAAAAAAAAAAACCTTATTACTATTATTAAAAGGGTATTAAGTTTGTGTCTGTAAAATCCTTGTAGATATACTCTATAAGAGTATATTTTTATAACTTTTGTTTGGATATCATTTTTGCTCATAGTGTTACACTAAATGAAGTTCATGGGGCATATTTAGTAAGGTTTTACTGAAGATATTGGTTCTTTATAGAACAATAAACACGCAAAGAACCATTTGCTTGCCTAAAGGATCACCTACAGAGCACTGCTAGTAGCCTGTTAATGAAGTAATGTTTTTTTTTTTTATTATTATTATTTGAGGGTCCCATTTCACAGGGAAAGATTTTAACCCTTTGTAATTCAGTTCCAAGGGGCAATGTGACACTCAAAAACAAGGAGTAGGGGTAAAAATAAGAAATGGGATTAGGAATGGGATTGCATGGTGAAATAAGATTGATGGAGAATGTGTTGTATATGGTTCTGTTCAATGTCAAAAATAGAATAACCCTTTTTGGTGCTATATAGAACCATATACATAACATTCTCCATCAATCTGCAGAACCATTTCACCATGCAAAAAACCATTTAAGTATGCATTGTTCTATATTCCACTATTGTCTTTACTAAAGAACACCTGAAGAAGCATCTTTTTAAAAAGTATCTTATAGCGGCAGAGGAGTTAGAGACTCCTCGGTCGTTGACTTCTTGGCTTCCGATGCCTAAATGCGGCAAAACCATTTTCTGAGAGTTGCGAGCTGTTCCTATCCCAGTCGGACGTTTCTGACTCTGTAATGCTGAGTCGGGTTTGTGATATAGTGAGTATTGATATAGTTTCCGCTGGGGTCCTACAAACGACCCCAGAGTCATGGTCATCTGTAAGAGAATCAACTGGGGGTTTAACTGCCTTCAATGTCTCAGACTTTTCTGAGAGGATCTTAAACCATTTTGGGGCAAAGTGGCAGAAGATGACTCCATAGTTGGAGACCATAATGCCAGAGATCTGGACGATGGGGCGTGATTCATATTGAGTGATGAAGACTGGAATAAAGCAGAACCAGGCAAACAGATGGATGAGCATGCTGAAGACTATAGGATCAGTCTCATTGTCTCTCCCCTTGAAGGCCAGTCCAAAACACACCACAGCTAGTAAAGCAATGTAGACATGCATCGCACCAAAGCCATACATAGAGCCCTGAGTGCACAGACGGTTCAGAGTAAGTAACTGAGTTTTTGATTGTGTCTCCTTAACATTAACAGGATCAAATATCATCCAGAAGATACAGATGAGAGCTTGAATTATAGTGAGGAGCCCTATGATGACAAAAGGCTTATCTAGTCTTCTCAGCGTGCGCCGTCTGTCTGGGTTAAAGGCCATATAGGCTAAGAATATGTGAAGGGCCTTAACCAGAATGCAGGACACACAGAGAGTGAACCCAAGACCATACATGATCTGTTGAGCTCTACAAACATGGATGTTTGGGCTGCCTAAGAAAAGTATTACACCTCCAAAACTCACCATCAGGCCAAATTTCATCAGACATGAAGTGACTAAGATGTCCTTTATGATGGGTTTTTCTCTGTGTAGAATGAAAAAGATAAATGAGAACACCAGCAGTAGTGCACCTATTACTGTTCCAATCATCACTACAATGGAATAAGCTGAAGACCACTCCAAAAACCAAATGTTCCATCTCTGACACTCCCTTGACCGTGGAAGAGACCAGGAGCCTTCTGGACATTTTTTACAGGCAGGCTGATCTGTGAAGAGAAAGAAAGAGAAACATTTAAACATCAGACGGGGGAACATAAACGGTATTTTCTTCTTAGGTTAGGTTTTTCTCAATGTCAAACATGCTGCTGTAGGTCTCCCTTGTTGCATAATGGCTGAAAACCTGTAGCTACATAGTCTTCTAACATTTAAGACAGAACTACTACAAGGGAGTAATTGTTTTATCCCCAGGGAACACCTAGCATAATGGACTGTTTAACAGGACATTTCAGACTAACCCGAAATAATAACCTGTGGGTTTTGCTTGTGGATGCTTCAACCACTCTAACAGTAATTTTTCCAGTAAGTAGCCAATATGGATAAATTATATCTTCTACAATGTTTCCAAATGTTTGGTCACGCAACAAACCACACACACACACAGCTGATTAACCAGTACATTTAAAAGACAAGTTTTGATCTGTTTGGACTAAGTACATGGTTACAGAGGGGTTACAAGAGTGGTGCTGTAAAGAGATATATATATATATATATAATAGTTGGGGTTGGCTACAAATCATTTGATCGGAAAGAACGCAGGAACATGAAAAATGAATTTGTTTCTGATATTGTTAAATTTCACTTTGTGAAAAACAAGTAATCTTGTTTTTGAATTTGCAAATTTTACAAAGGAATTCTTCTCACACATGTGAAAATGACATTTTACTATTTAAAGTTAATTTCTTGTCACAATTGCATTTTTACGAGTTGAAATTTTATATGTATTAGTGATTTGATATCATGTGTATATGTTCCACAATTGTTGTTTACTTTTTGTTATCTCTTTCTCTGCACATTTTATGTGGCATAGCGCTGTTACCGCCCAGTTTTATGAATCTGGCCCACTGTGTTTCATAAGGCTTGTGTGATCTAAATAGCACTATACATACAAAATAAATCAGCCATACTATTTTGATAATTAAATAATTTAAATATGGACTACAGTGTGATCAAGTTTTGCAATCAACTGTTCTTCCTAGCAATAGCACTCACACATACTATTTAACATTATGGTTCTGTCTCCAATCTGATTTGCCACAAAAGAGAAAATTTTCACAGTGGAAATCTGCAGCTTGGTATCTCTCACAGCTACACTGAAGAAGCATTTATGTTCAGAAAAGCATGCAAAGCCAGTTTCTGACTCTGTAAAAGTGCAGTCCACACAACATCAGGGGACAGGCCATCACACTTACAGGAGATAAGTGCTCTACTTAATCTATGTGCCCAGACACAGAACAAAAGCTCTCAATTAGCAGGTGCTGCTCTGAATTAACAGGGAGAAAGGAAGTAAGCCGTACTTCCCACTCCATGAATCAGATGCAGATCTCATGGACTCATGAGCAGATGGTAACGATGTGATGAGATGTGAATCAGCTCTACATCTGAACAGATCAGTTACCTGGTTGAGCTACTGGAGAGCATGAATCAGACTCCAGCCCTGATGAGCACAAGCCTCTGCTCATAAAACACTCTTGATTCAACTCATCAGATAATTAGCAAGCCCTTCATGAATTGAATTCAGATCATTAGATCAGGGAGAACACTAATCTCAACAGAGCTGTGGCCTGGAAGGAACCTTGTTTGACATCAACTGTTCTTATACTGCTCGATACCAGTCATGGGGGTAAGCACTTTATACATATATATAGTCCTCCAAATATATATCAGCACGCTTGATAAACATGAGCAAAAGTGGCTATAAAAAAACATTCTCTGCTCCTTATCCTTCTTATCTTTCATTCACCATATTAACAAAATTGTAACCTTTACTTGAAGTACAATGATTGTTCATTTAATACTTTATGCAGCTGCCCTTTGCAAAGATAACAGCTCTGAGTCTTCTCCTGTAATGCTTAATGAGACTGGAGAACAAATGGCAAAGGATCCAAGAACATTCCTCCATACAGAATCTGTCCAGAACCTTCAGATTCTGAGTTCCACACTGTGGACTCTCCTCTTCAGCTCTTTCCACAGGTTTAGGTCAGGGGACTGGGGTGGCCATGATAAAACCTTGATTCTGTGATCAGTGAACCATTTTTGTGTTGATTTTGAGGTGTGCTTTGGATATTGTCCTCCTGAAAGATCCAACCACAGCACAGTTTAGGTTTCCTGGCTGAGGCAGTCAGGTTTTAATTTTATTTCTGCTGGTACTTGATGGAGTCTGTGATACCATGTATCCATATAAATTGTCCAGGTGCATTAAAAGAAAAACAGCCCCACATCATCACAGATCCACCACCATACTTCACAGCTAGGATGAGGTACTTTTCTGCCTATCTTTGTGTCTACACCAAACTCACTCCTGGTGTTTTTTGCCAAGAAGATCTATTTTGGTCTCACATGACTGAGGTCTCCCCACAGAGCTCCAATCAGTGCTCACAGTCACCTGAATGCTATAAAGTCCAGGCTTTTAGCTTAGAGATTTTGTGAAGTATTGCTTTTTCTTTTGAGAGCTACTGAGCATTTTGTCTGTTTGCCTTTTGTCTGTTTACGATCTTGCTTGGAACTTGACTTTGCTTTTTGCTCTTCAGATCTGGTTGCCTGGTTTTGCGATGATTGTTTTTTGTTTGTTTGTTAGCCTTTTTGGAGTTGATCCTTGTCTGTTCTATGACATTAAGCTTTGCCCAATCCTTTGATAATACAGCCTCATTTTTCACTTTTTACCATGAGCATCTGACTGGGTTGTTCAAGTTACACAGTTATATTTCACTCCTAAAAATTTTTCAGCTGTTGCATACACAGATTTCAGAAAAAAAAAAAAAAAAAATCATAGTAAGATTTAGGTTTTTTTCTTTCAATTATTTAATGTAAAAGAAAGCTTTTATTTTACTTGTTAATATTTTGAATGAATGATCAAAAGGCTGTTTTTATATGGCACCTTTTACAACAGGCGTTGTCACAAAGCAACTTTACAGAAAATCTGGGTCCGGAAAAACTCCCTAAAAGCAAAAAGACAATACACTGAGAGGAACCAGGCCCAAAAAGGTAGCCGGACCTTCTCTTGTCAACACCAAATAGCAAAACGAAAAAACACAAGAGCAAAATGAACAGAGGGCAAAATTTTACAACTAAAATATGAATTAATTTATATTAAGTAAAATATTGAGCATAAAAAAGAAAAAACAAACCAGCCTGTCATTAGACAGGACTATTTAGACCAATTATAACCAATGACTACTGTTAAAAACCTAGCAGAGTAAAGTAGTAAAGAGTAAAAGTTTTGCTCATGTTTACTAGAGGTGCTAAAATTTGTGGAGAGATCTGTATATAATTTACTCACCTGTCTCATTAGAATAGTATCCCTCACTACAGTTAGCACAGTCATAACAACAGGAGATTTTTGATATGTTCTTCTCTGTGCCTGGAGGACATGGCTCTGAACATCTGGACAAGGGCACCTGGATGAAAAGAGAGAGGTTTTGATGGGCATTAATGCTTTAGATAATGCTAATGCACAACAGTACAGACAGCATTTAATTTATTCTCACCGTGTTGTTGGTCCATGGGATTTTGCGCTCGTCAATCTCAACTTCACCATTCTTTATGAGAAATCTTCCCACCACATCAGGCTCTCTTTCATCACCACTCTTTTTCCACATTATGAGGTCATAACCATTTTCAAAATCCCCATACTGATTAAAGGTGTATGTCTTACTGTCCAAAGTGAAGTTCACTTTACGAAGAATGTCCACAAGCTGAAAATATACATATAAAAGTATAAACACATCTTAATAAATGACAAAACAAATTTTGCCATACACTGTCACCACACGTTAACATATAATTGCTCTAAAGGTACGAGCAAAACTAAGTCTTATAGCCTCAGGAAAGTCTGTAATTGATGTGCCAAAGTCAAGTCAGGTCAACTCAGCTTTTTGACCGAGGCTTCAAGTGTCTACCACTATCTCTCATCTCTCTCTACATTTATATAAATTATAGTTGATACGGTGCAGGGGTCGTGGCAGAAAGGTAGACTCTGCAAAATATTTTCAGGACCAAACTGAGCACTTGAAAAAATTACATGGCACATCTTATTAACAAAAAACTACAAAAAGTATTTCAGTGACTTTATTTTCCTAAACTTGAACCAGCACTGCTTCTGTGGCAAACCACTGTTGTGGCTTATCCAGTCATATGCATTTATGTAAATTGCTTAGCTGAAGGCCACTCATAAGGACAATGGACCTTATTTCACCAATATCTTCCTAAGTTTCTTCTTAAATATGTTTTTGCAAAAGGTTTTAAGATAAAGTCTATGTCAGATTGATGATGTGTTCTCAAACCGCAGAACTGTTCACACCTTTGTTCTCTTCAGTGTGCATAGGTTCCCAAAAAAAATCCTAAAGAAGAAATTTCTTTTTAAGAATGATTGGTAAAAGAGGTCCAGTGACTACAGGGCTAGATATCAGATCAAAAGGAGAATATTTTCACATATTTTTCTAGATTTTTTATTTTATTTTATTTACAATTTTATGTTGAATATTAAAACAACATGATTAGTTAGAAAAAAAGGAAGTTTATAATAAAAATTGTTAAAAAATACAAATGAACAGATATGCAAACTTAAATCAGCCGTGTCTGCGTCATTTCTGAGAAAGAAAAATGTAAGTATTTAATTAAAAAGTTTACATGATTTGCAATTGAAACATTATACTTAGATTTATCAGTAATAAGTTTACGCGGTTGTCACAGTAAACATGTTGTCTGCTTGATGATTTCTTTGTCTTTCGTTCATTGTGCTGTCTCCCTCCAGCAGAGCCAAATGATATAAAATAGTCCACCTGATGATGTGTTAACTTTTAACCATTAGTAACTTAATAAGTTATCATATTGTAATCATATTGTCAGCTGAATGCATGGTTTTTAGGACAGAGGCTTGATTTGTTATGAGGTAAATCGAGTGGAGGGGTGAAAGCAGTTGTGTCCCCTCAGTAAACTTTTTTGCTCCCTTTTGATTCTGTCACAGGGATTGACAGCCAAAAGTGTGTAGATCAGGCTGGAAACGTGCATCAATCTATGCTCATTTTTGCATGAAAATTCTGTTTTATTCATCACTACTCAACGTGAATTTCCAAGTACGTCCATTTTAAGATCAAATCTGTGCATGCAAATCTTTTAAAAATTTGGCCCCTTGTCTCAGCTTTGACTCGGACTCACCTCTAGCGGTCTTGACAACAACACTCTATTCTAGAGTCGTTCATACTAACGCATAGCAGACACAGCAGCACAAATCAGTAAGCCACTTATTTGTTTTGTTATTTGAAATTTCTGTCGTTACATTGATTTCAGTCCAAGTCGCTCATCTACAGTCCTCACCTCTGCGTCAGAGAGAGTAATAATTCCTCTACAGTAGCCAGCTTTTACTGTTTTCTGTTATCAATATTACAACCAACAATAACTTGCAAGACCAGCTTTGTGTTCTTATCATCACAGATTTTGCTGTATTAACACACAACATATCAATTTTACCTGCCACGGCAATAAGTTGGCAGCTCCAGAGCAGGCAGTGTCGTTGCATTTAAGAAGTTTCCTGATGGCATGAGCTGCAGCATACACTGCTACTCTCTGACTGTAGGCCTCCATCAGATGCACAGCATGGAGCAGGTAGTCATCATTCGCCTCTAAAGGATCTGTCACACTACAGGCCAAAGGGGACGTGTGCTCCGACTGCTGACTGCAGTTGAACCTCAACTGTTTGTACTCCCTTATGAAATCATTCCTCACTCCTGGGCTTATCGTCAGATTCTTGAGGAAGTCTTCAAAACCTGGAATGATCCCTGTGACAAAGTCAAAGCCAAAGATGTCTCCAACCTTATTTATGTCCTTCATCTTCATTACAAAGCGTGCTGTAGACCAGGCATCACTGGCGATCCAGATTCGAGTAGTATTTGTCTTAATCATCTCTTTAAAGAGCATCTCCACATGTTCTGGTCTCAAAATGAGCAGCACAACTTTGGCAGTGGAGTTTCGGATTTTCTCAGCCACCTCTTTGATGCGCTTGTCAATATTTAAGGAACCTAAGTAATTTGGTAACACTTCCTGGAAATGCACACATATGTTTTCTTTTTCTGAATCGGACAGAAAATGCTGCAGAGCAGGTTCTCCGTATTCATCGTCTATCGTCACCACTCCAACCCAGTCCCAGTTAAAGTGCTTCATGAGCTTTGCCAGAGCCTTTGTCTGGTATATATCACTTGGAATGACACGGAAAAAGGATGCATAACGTGATTTGTCACTCAATGCTGGTGAAGAAGATGTGCAGCTGATCTGTTAAGAGAAAGATGAAGTGGAATTAATCTGTGTGTAATTCAATATTGTCTTCTGATATAACACATAAAGTGCTGAAAATCTTAACACAGATGAAATTAGCAGTGCTGGGTCTTCACACTGAACATTTAACAGGACATAAAGTAGGTTTAAACTCTGCATTACATTTGGTGAAAGTTATAGTTCTTCTCTTTGTGTTAGCATGCCCAGATTAGTGACAGTTAAATGATGAACGTCAAAATTGGTATTTTTTATTTTCACAAGCAGCCTGAATAAAAATGAAGACAAAAAGATAAAAGACCGAAGTGATCACCAAAAATTATATTTGCCCTCCAACTTTTTGCCCTCAACTGCTCAAATATAGTTAGAATATTAAAGCTTTATGAATAAGTAAACCAAAAACACCAAATGATACCTACAAATGACCTTACAAAATATTTGAAATGGATTTGAAATTCAATTTTAAAACTGGCCAATCAAAATCTCAGTTTATCAATTAATTATATCCTGCACAAACTCAAACACCTAGCTACAGTTTTTAGTGTTGAATCTACAAGTTTCCAATCACTTTGTTAGGAGAAGTATTATAGAGTTAATTTTGTGCTAAAATGTTTGAGAGAAGATTATGATATTTGAGAGAGGAACGTTACAGTTTGAGAGGACAGTGGTTTTCTGAGCGTGCAGCTAATTAACATGAATGCACTTGTCAACATGAACTGCGCAATTAAACATCTTCAGATTTGCTCAACAAAACACTTTTCATTCGAAACTTAAAAATCTGCACAACAGTGCCTTTCCCTTTCAGAACTCATACGTGCAAAACACTCTGGATTCACTCAAAACACTGAAAACTTGCTCAGTAGCACTTTCAAAACTCATATGTGCATGCAATTAATTTGTTCTCCCAACTCCACAGCTCCCTCTTAAGTTTCACATCTGCAATTGTGGATGTTTTTTAATGTGACCAAATCGCTGTTTGATAGTGGTGTGTCAATGATACAGCCTTGATAACTTATTTCAGTCATCTTGATAACTAGCTATAGCATTACTTGCCTAATATAACTAGCTAACTGTCTTGAGTACTTAGCTAGCGTTTGCTAATGTCGCTAATTTAACTAGCTAACCATCAGGCTTTTTAACTTTATCGAACCCAAACACAGGTTATTATTATACCAGTCTCTTGTATGATGCTTTGTACTCTCTCTAGATTCGGCATTGTGATCTTTGCTCGGGTTGATGGACTTTCAAGAAAAATAAGTCGATTGTTTACATTTTCTCCAAATAACAAAAAAGCTTGCACAGCCCACATTATGGAAAATCTAATTTTCGAGTTTTATGTAGTGTGTAAACACTATTAATGTTTCAAAACATGTAGCTAATTCATTCCTCAGTCTACATATTAAAGCTAAGCTGCAAAAACAGCCTGATTGTGGTAGCAGGAAAACCAATGCATTTACATAAATCCACATATTCAGCCTACAATAGATTAGCCCCACCCAATCACTTATTTTTGAATGAGGCGCAATGTATCGCAGCCAATCAGAACAGAGACTATTTACATATCTTAAAGACACATTTTACAAAGACACAAATTCACAAATCATCATTGTTTTACAGGATGAAGGAGTGAATATGGTCATATAAAATGATTTATGACTGTTTTGGTACTTAAACCCACACAAATGTCATGAAAAGTTCCAAGAAAAGCGTAGGATACAGGCACTTTAATTTTTATCTTCTTTTGTAGAACCTCTATCTTCATGCTGCTGACAACAACAGAGCTGAAACTGCTTTTGGGTTTTTCATGGATGGAGTACACAGATCCATCAAGGTAATTATAAAATATTTCATGTCAAAATTTCAAATTTGAAATAATTTCGACTTGATGGTCCTTTGTAATTAGTGCCTCATTTGAGTAATATTTTCAAGGGGTGTGCAGACTGTGGGATGGAAAATGTGGACATTGCCCAGTGCATGTTCAGAGTCAGAGGAACAGGACGTGGCAGCTTCATTGCAGGTCCCATTGTCCACAACAAAAAGTAAAGGATGGTACTATCTAATCATTTCTTTGCCAGAATGAGATTAAATGTAAATTTGCTACACTTAACAGTACAGCATTATCTAAAGCAAGGATGGGGAACTCTGATCTTGGTGGGCCTAATTCCTGTATAATTTAGGGAACAATTACCTTTTTATATTATTATTTTTTAATTTATTTAACTGTGCTAGCACTTAGTTCCCCATATCTAAAGCCCAGTGTCTTAAACTGTAAAATGATTGCTGTTGTGCAGTGCCTTTGTGCTATTCTAAATATATCGTTTCTGTCACACAAGAACCTCGTGTCTCCTTTTTAACAATTTGAAAACTCCAGTTAGCCTTTGAATTGTGTGAACATTTTATGATAAATGGAACAAAGTTAAAACCTGAATAAATGAGTGGGAAACTTTACTGCATAATATAATTGTGCAGTTAACATCTGAGCATGATCACTGGCGTGTATAAAAATAGTCACCAGATCTCAACCCAGTTGAACACCTATGAGAAATTTTGAATGTATTGGACAGTGTCCTTCACCACCATCATCAAACACCAACTGAGGGAAGATCTTTTGGAAGAAATGCATTTAATCTTTGGGTACAAATCCAGAGAATTGCAGACTCTATGCTAAGGCACTTTGAAGCTGTTCTGGAGGCTCACCATAGACCCAACACCTTACTAGGATGCCTTGTTTTTTGTTTGTCATCTGTATATATTTAAAACATTGTTTTGCCAGATCATATTTTGCCCTAAACTAGGGTGGAACAATAGTGGAGGGATCTGTGGCATGCTGTGACCAGCAAGTACTACCTGGTTCTTCACAACTTGGCTGAGGAGGGATTTCTTGACACAGCAAATGATAGTCACATTTTCTGTGCCCACTATTGTGTTTCTGTCCTGCCTCAGAGCTGATTTGCTGTTTGTCACAGACACCTGGAACAACCACTCCATCCGCACAAAGGGAAATTTAACAGCTAATCAGTTCTGGTATATAGGAATGATCCAAACCCCTGCGCCAGAGCCACACTCACCTATGAAAAGGCAAGTGTTTTTTATGTATTTCAAATTCATTTTTTATGTACAAATTATTTGTGGTTTATGTTCCAATCATTTACCGATCAGAAATTGACTAATCTGTAACGACACAGCTTTTTTAGAGTAGGAGTGCTGATTTAGGATCAGATTCCTCTCTAATTTACTTTAGCTGTGTCCACAACTGTGCCCTATTCACTATATAGTGCACTATTTTGGGGTTCCACCATTTTGTAGTGATGTCTGAAAACATGAAGATCCAGTGCACTCAAACAGTCCCACAATGCACTTCAATAAGTAATGTACAACTTATAACAAGTAATAACTTTTTTGTCCACATAAAATTGCACATGGCATCAGTATTGTTTTTTGATGATGCCATTGTACAAGTATATAAATATATAAATTAGATTAATAATTAGATTAATAAGAGGAGTGATATGGTAAGACTTTACAGTAGTAAAGACTGTTAGACATTGTTAGACATTGTTAGCTACATTCAAAGAAAGTTCCCTAACATCAGCTTAGTTGATTGATGTTAAACTCTTTATTCTAAGTTATCTAATGTTATATTGGAGGTTAAGCTCCTGATAGGAAACAAATTAAAAAGCCTAGCTACCAATGTTAGTTAAATGTTAGTAGAAAGCTGGAAACCATCTTACCGATGTCAGAAGGCTACAAAGCAAACTAGCCGACTCAATACTACGGCAAAAAATGTACCTTGGCCAATTGGCATAAAGCTGCTTAAGAAAAGATGCCACGATTGGTGCACTGACAGGAACAGCCCATCAAAATGTCTGTTTTGACACAGATGTTCAAACATATTACATTGAGCAGATTTGAAACCTGAGAGAAGCTGTGGAGTTGGGAGAAAAAATGCTTTGCGTGCACATACGAGTTCTGAAGGTGAAGAGCACCGTTGAGCAGGTTTTGAAACCAGTGTTTTGTATGTACGAGTTCTGAAAGGGAAATGCATTGTTGTGCAGATTTTCAAGTTTTGAATGAAACCAGATTATTTTGTTGAGAAAATCGGAAGGCGCATTATTTGCGCACTTCGTGTTGACAAGTGCATTCAAGTTCATTAGCTGCACGCTTACAAAACCACTGTCCTCTCAAACCAGAACATTCCTCTCTCAAACATCATAATATTCTCTCAAACATTTTGGCACAAAATTAACTCCATGAAGTATGAGCTCTTGGAGTCCTGCATTAGCAGTGATACTGTGAGCATTTTGGAGACTGCTATGTGGATTTATGGACTGAAAATGAATAAACACAACCTGTTTTAAGCACAAATTCTTTTGCATTTTCCTTCACTTTTCATCCATTTGTAGTATGTTTAGTGAAGGTTTTCTCTGCTCTCTGAAACAGAGTGTGCTGTACTCAGTTTGTGTATCGCGCTACTGAGTTGTAGTTTCACTGAACTCTCCTTTACTATTGCTATGGGTACCATAACACATACGGCCCAACAGTAACAACTACCTTGCGTGCTCTCCTTCACCAGCATTCAAGTAAACTGCCATTGCCAGTCCAGAGTGTTTCCAATCAGTGAAAGCTAAGCAGTGATAGGAAACTTTATGAGTGTTCAGATTCATCTGTAGGTCTTTTTGTAAAATGCGTCAAAAATGTCAATATAGCGTGAAAGCGTAAGATTAGACAGAATTGAGTGTGTCTCCTGGCCAATGCGTGAGGGTTGGAAGAGCTTGCTCTACCTTCTTGGAAAGCTTGTTTGGATCCCTGCATGTTAAGTAGCTAGTTACATAAATGGAAGTGCTTTTAATATTCAGGTAGTGTTTTTCTACAGTGTTGTTAGTTTAATTTTTAGGAAATGTCTCTACTTCTTAGCTTATGAGCAAGCTAA